CCTCTACTTCTGTTCTGGTGTCAATAGAGAGGGTGAATCTCACAGACAGGAATAAAAACTTAAATGAGTTCTAATCCCTCTCTACTCAATCCAAAAAAATAAAATAAAATTAGCATTTAGTGATGCTTTAACCGCTTTCCCTCTTCCCTATAGCAAAAATACTGCTGCAGGGCTGCGTGCAAACATACATACATACACACACACACACGCGTGATTTTAGCTGCCTCCGATGTCAATCGGTGATCGCCGAGTATCACTGACAGGGAGAGACCTGTATGTAAAACAATACAGATCTCTCCCCTGTCAGCTCCTGCACATTGCTTTATATTGCTCTGCATAGCACAGCAATGCAAAGCAATGTTCTGACACAGTGAAACACGCACAGCACACAGTTAACCCTTTGATTGCCCCAGATGTTAACTCCTTTTTGACCAGTGCCATTAGTACAGTTTTTAGCACTGATCACTGTATTGGTGTCACTGGGGATGCCAGTGACACCAAGTCAGTTCCCCCCCAGTGTCAGAATGCCCACCGCAATCCTGCTATAAGTAGCTGATCGCGGCCATTACTAGTAAAAAATAAATACATTTTTAAATTCCAGTATATATACCACCATTTGTAGACACTGTAAGTTTGATGTAAACCAATTAATTTACACGTATTGGGATTTTTTTTAGCAAAGACATTTTGGCCTTAATTTATGAAGAAATGTTATTTAAAAAAAAATTTTTTACTGGACATGTTTAACCGCTTGCCGCCCTGCCACTGTATATATACGTGTGCAGGGTGGCAGTGGAGCGCAAAAGCACGTTTTAAAACGGGCTCCGCGCTCCCGACACTTTCGCGGGTAGGGGGCGCGCACGCGCTCCTGCCGACCCGCGGGTGACACGATTCGATCCAGGAGGGATCAATCATTAGATTTCAGCCAGTGATTTCTGGCTGAAATCAGATGATCGGTCCCTGTCCTATCCTGTCCTGTGTTGACATTTACACAGGGCAGGATATGATGTAATTCTTCTCTGCCTGGACACATTCTGTTCCAGACAGAGAAGAAGACACAGTAAAAGTGAGTACAAAGCACTACACTAACAGTTAGAACACACCTAGGACACATTTAACCCTGATCGCCCCCCCCCCCCCCCCGTTAACCCCTTCACTGCCCTGTCACCAGTGTCACTGATCAGTGAAGCGATTTTTACTGATCACTGTATCAGTGTCGCTGGCGACTTCCGATAGAGATAGCGGCAGTTTGCCCGCCAGTACACCAGTATTCCCGTTTAACCCCTTGATCGCCCCCCCCCCCCAGTTAACCCCTTCACTGCCCTGTCACCAGTGTCACTGATCAGTGAACCAATTTTTACTGATCACTGTATCAGTGTCGCTGGCGACTTCCGATAGTGTTAGCGCCCCTCCCAGATAGCGCCAGATTGCCCCCGCAGTACACCAGTAATCCCGTTTAACCCCTTGATCGCCCCCCCCCCAGTTAACCCCTTCACTGCCCTGTCACCAGTGTCACTGATCAGTGAACCAATTTTTACTGATCACTGGCGACTTCCGATAGTGTTAGCGCCCCTCCCAGATAGCACCAGATTGCCCGCTAATACACCAATAATCCCGTGTAACTCCTTGATCGCCCCCCCCCGAGTTGACCCCTTCACTGCCCTGTCACCAGTGTCATTGATCAGTGAACAGATTTTTACTGATCACTGTATCAGTGTCGCTGGCGACTTCCGATAGTGTTAGCGCCCCTCCCAGATAGCGCCAGTTTGCCCGCTAGTGCACCAGAAATCCCATTTAACCCCTTGATCGCCCCCCCCAGTTAACCCCTTCACTGCCCTGTCACCAGTGTCATTGATTACAGTGAACAGATTTTTACTGATCACTGTATTAGTGTCACTGGTGACTTCCGATAGTGTTAGCGCCCCTCCTGTTTGCCTGCTAATGCGCGGGATTTTTTTTTACCAAAAACATGTAGCAGAATACATTTTGGCTTAAATTTATGACTAACTTTGAGTTTACAATATATTTTTTATAGCTGAAAGTAGAAAATATTGTTTTTTTTTTTCAAAGTTTTCGTGGTTTTTTTGTTTATAGTGCAAACAATAAAAAGCGCAGAGGTGATCAAATACCACCAAAAGAAAGCTCTATTTGTGTGAAAAAAAGGACGTAAATTTCGTTTGGGTACAGCATTGCATGACCGCGCAATTATCATTTGAATTAGTGCAGCGCTGTATAGCAAAAAAAGGCATAAATTACAGTATCTATACCATAGTTTGTAGACGCTATAACTTTCACACAAAGCAATCAATATACACTTATTGGGATTTTTTTTTACCAAAAACATGTAGCAGAATACATTTTGGCTTAAATTTATGACTAACTTTGAGTTTACGATATATTTTTTATAGCTGAAAGTAGAAAATATTGTTTTTTTTCAAAAGTTTCGTGGTTTTTTTTTGTTTATAGCGCAAAAAATAAAAAGCGCACAGGTGATAAAATACCACCAAAAGAAAGCTCTATTTGTGTGAAAAAAAGGACGTAAATTTCGTTTGGGTACAGCATTGCATGACAATGCGCAATTATCATTTGAATTAGTGCAGCGCCAAACAGCAAAAAAAAAGGCCTGGTCATTAAGGGGGGTAAATCCTCAGGTGCTCAAGTGGTTAATAGCAAAAAGTCAAAAATATTGTTTTTTTTTTTTTCAAAATTGTCGGTCTTTTTTTGTTTATAGCTCAAAAATAAAAACTGCACAGGCAATAAAATACCACCGAAAGAAAGCTCTATTCATTGGGAAAATAAGAACATACATTTCATGTGGGTGCAGCGTTGCATGACCGCGCAATTGTCAAAGTAACACAGCGCCATATCGGAAAAAATGGCCTGGTCAGAAAGGGGGGTAAATACTCTGGAGGGCAAATGGTTAATATAGTTTTTACTTACATGTATTTTAAAAAAAAAATTAATGTGCAAGATTTTTTGCATTCTCTTTTTTTTCATTTTGTTTTTGTCTAATTGCATGTGTTCTGTCTCTATGCTCTGTGTGTGCAATGACTGTGCAGGTTTAGCAGCTACGTGGAGAGGGAAATTAGGTGGTGGTAGCCCTGAGGGTTTAAAGCTGAATGGGTGCAGTACTGCTGACAGGAAACAGAAAGTACTTTACTGGAGGTAGGACTGTGAAACATTGAGGAGAACAGCATTGAGGGTAATGGAGCATGGCCACTTTAAGCTAATAGGTGAAAGACCCCTCCAGTGCTACTGACATGAAACAGGATTCTTTTCTTTGCTTATTTTACAGGTGAAACTTGAAAAATTAGAATATCGTGCAAAAGTTCATTTATTTCAGTAATGCAACTTAAAAGGTGAAACTAATATATGAGATAGACTCATTACATGCAAAGCAAGATAGTTCAAGACGTGATTTGTCATAATTGTGATGATTATGGCTTACAGCTCATGAAAACCCCAAATCCACAATCTCAGAAAATTAGAATATTACATTCAATCAATAAAACAAGGATTGTACATAGAACAATATCGGACCTCAGAAAAGTATAAACATGCTTATGTACTCATTACTTGGTTTGGGCCCCTTTTGCAGCAATTACTGCCTCAATATGGCATGGAAGCTATAAGCCTATGGCACTGCTGAGGTGTTATGGAAGACCTGGATGCTTCAATAGCGGCCTTCAGCTCTTCTGCATTGTTCGGTCTCATGTCTCTCATCTTTCTCTTGGCAATGCCCCATAGATTCTCTATGGGGTTCAGGTCATGCGAGTTTGTTGGCCAATCAAGCACAGTAATCCCACGGTCATTGAACCAAGTTTCGGTGCTTTTGGCAGTGTGGGCAGGTGCCAAGTCCTGCTGGAAAATGAAGTCAGCATCCCCATAAAGCTCATCTGTGGAAGGAAGCATGAAGTGCTCCAAAATCTCCTGGCAGACAGCTGCGTTGACCCTGGACTTAATGAAGCACAGTGGACCAACACCAGCAGATGACATGGCTCCCAAAATCAACACAGACTGTGGAAACTTCACACTGGACTTCAAGCATCTTGCAGTGTGTGCCTCTCCATTCTTCCTCCATACTCTGGGTCCTTGGTTTCCAAATGAGATGTAAAAGTTGCTCTCATCAGAAAAGAGGACTTTGGACCACTGAGCAACAGACCAGGTCTGTTTTTCTTTAGCCCAGGTAAGACTCCTCTGACGTTTTTTGTTCAGGAGCGGCTTGACAAGAGGAATACGATATTTGAAGCCCATGTCCAGGATCCGTCTGTGTGTGGTGGCTGTTGATGCACTGACTCCAGCCTCAGTCCACTCCTTGTGAAAGTCCCCAACACTTTTGAATGGCCTTTTCCTGACAATCCTCTCCAGGCTGCCGCCATCCCTGCTGCTTGTGCACCTTTTTCTTCCACACTTTTCCCTGTCACATAACTTTCTATTAATGTGCTTTGATACAGCACTTTGGGAACATCCAACTTCTTTTGCAATTAACTTTTGAGGCTTTCCCTGCTTATGGAGGGTGTCAATGATGGTTTTCTGCACAACTGTCAGGTCAGCAGATTGAGAGACCATTTAAAGGCTCAGGAACCCTTTGCAGTGTGTTATGGCTTAATTATCTGATTAGAGTGGGACACTTTGAGCCTAGAATATTGCACCTTTTCACAATATTCTCATTTTCTGAAATTGTGGATTTGGGGTTTTCATGAGCTGTAAGCCATAATCATCACAATTATGACAAATCACAGCTTGAACTATCTTGCTTTGCATGTAATGAGTCTATCTCATATATTTCACCTTTTAAGTTGCATTACTGAAATAAATGAACTTTTGCACGATAATTTTTTGAGTTTCACCTGTATATACAAGACATGATTGTGTGATGTGTCATTTTTGTAGTAAACTCGCTGCTAGGAAGAGAGGTAATGGTTCAGAATATCTTCCATTTTTACATTTTCTGTTGTGAGCAACAGGTAATCACTTTTTTATTTCACCAGGTTCTAAAGATGCATGTGTTCTTGCTTCTCTCCTTCTGCCTGTTAACCTGTTATGGGAAATACCAAGACGATGACTGGATTGATCCCACAGACATGCTGAATTATGATGCAGCTGCTGGTAGAATGAAGCATCATAAACAGGTACAATTGGTTTTGTATAACCTTCTGCAGCATAGTAGAGTGACACTACGGGGTAAGATTTACTAAAACTGGAGCATTCAGAATCTGGTGCAGCTGTGCATGGTGGCCAATCAGCTTCTTACCGCAGCTTGTTCAGTTAAGCATTGACAATAAAACCTGGAAGCTGATTGGTTTATGTGCAGAGCTGCACCAGAATTTGCATGCACCAGTTTTAGTAAATCCCCCCCCCCCAAAGTGATCTTTCAAATCTATCCTTTTTATTTTGTATTCTTTTTCATATATCAATTTTTTGTTTTCATTGTCTGAAGACAGACATATGTTTGTCCCAAGCATCACACAATTTTCAGCTGACTTCCTGTTTATTGGCAGTTGAAACCAAAACCCAGCAATGTCCTTTGAGAGCAAAAAAAAGCAAAGTGGACTAAAAGCTTTCATAAAAATATAAATATATTGTTTAAACGTTTAGTAGGAACTTGATATATGTAGAACCCAAAGGTTTTTTTTTTTTTTAGTTTTAGATATACAGTAGTAGGGAAAGGTAAAACCCCTATCAGGTTATTGCTGTATGTTCCATGGAAATTTCCCTTCACTTGTTCTGGAGACACAACAGAAAATAAGGGGAAATCTTTCCTAGAGAGTTGTCACAGGTGTCCCTATTGGAGGACTTTTGCTCACTTCTTGCTGTGGTGACAGTGCAAAATTTTAGATGTAGTCTATTTGCAACCTAAAGTGTTTGTTCACCTTTACAGGAAAATTGTAAAGGTGAACTAACACCAGACACCCTCAACCCTACCTACTGTACTTCGGGGTTACCAAGTTGTCAGAAACCCCACATCCACTCCTGTGGATTTGAAATCCCCTCTCTTCTTCCTCTTCTGGCATGAATATATTGATTCTGATTGGTCAGTGCTGTCACTGCATTGATCAGAATCAGAAGTATTATTTTTGTCTGTCCCAGATGCGCTGACAGAAAAGAGGGAAAAGAGTGGGGATTTCAAATCCCTGGACCACTGGGTTTTTCTGTAAAAGTGAACTAACACTTAAGGCAGAGAAGCAGCCCACATACAAATGTGTGTGGATACATCCCTACACAAAACACCATTTTGAGTATGGAGCACTACCATCCTATACAGTGGGGATCGAAAGTTTGGGCACCCTAGCTAAAAATTTGTATTAATGTGCATAAAGAAGCCAAGGAAAGATGGAAAAATCTCCAAAAAGGCATCAAATTACAGATTAGACATTCTTATAATATGTCAACAAAAGTTAGATTTTATTTCCATCATTTACACTTTCAAAATAACAGAAAACAAAAAAATGGCGTCTGCAAAAGTTTGGGCACCCTGCAGAATTAATATCTTGTACTGCCCCCTTTGGCAAGTATCACAGCTTGTAAAATGCTTTTTGTAGCCAGCCAAGAGTCTTTCAATTCTTGTTTGAGGTATCTTTGCCCATTCTTCCTTACAAAAGTCTTCCAGTTCTTTGAGATTTCTGGGCTGTCTGTCACGCACTGCTCTTTTAAGGTCTATCCATAGATTTTCAATTATGTTGAGGTCAGGAGATTGTGAAGGCCATGGCAAAACCTTCAGTTTACGCCTCTTGATGTAATCCCCCGTGGATTTCAAGGTGTGTTTAGGATCATTATCCATTTGTAGAAGCCATCCTCTCTTAAACTTCAGCTTTTTCACAGATGGCATCAAGTTACCATCTAAAATTTGCTGAAATTTTATTGAATCCATTTTTCCTTCTACTCGTGAGATGTTGTTCTCTGTGCCACTGGCTGCAACACAACCCCAAAGCATGATTGATCCAACCCCATGCTGGACAGTTGGACAGAGGTTCTTTTCATTCAATTCTGTGCCCCTTCTTCTCCAAACGTACCTTTGCTCATTCCGGCCAAAAAGTTCCATTTTAACCTCATCGGTCCACAGAACTTGTTTCCAAAATGCATCAGGCTTGTCTATATGTTCATTTGCAAAGTTCAAACGATGATTTTTGTGGTGAGGACATAGAAGAGGTTTTCTTCTGATGACTCTTCCATGAAGACCATATTTGTACAAGTATCTCTTTATAGTGGAATAGTGTACCACAACTCCAGTGTCTGCCAGATCTTTCTGGAGGGATCGTGCAGTCAAACGTGGGTTTTGAATTGTTTTTCTCACAATCCTGCGAGCTGTTCTGTCTGATATTTTTCTTGGTCTTCCAGATCTTGCTTTAACGTCCACTGTTCCTGATGACTGCCATTTCTTAATTACATTCTGAACAGAGGATATTGACATCTGAAAACGCTTTGCTATCTTCTTATAGCCTTCTCCAGCTTTGTGAGCGTCAACTATTTTCAGTTTTAGTTTTCTAGACAACTGCTTAGAAGAACCCATGGTGCTGATTGTTGGGGCAAGGTCAGATGCGTCTGGGCATTTAAAACCTTTGAGCTTGACATCACCTGGTCTTCCCAGACGATGATTGAGAACAATCCATGACACTGGCAGGTCTCAGCTTGGCAAAGGGGGCAGTGCATGCTATAAATTCTGCAGGGTGCCCAAACTTTTGCAGACGCCATTTTTTTTGTTTTCTGTTATTTTGAAAGTGTAAATGATGGAAATAAAATCTAACTTTTGTTGACATATTATAAGAATGTCTAATCTGTAATTTGATGCCTTTTGGAGATTTTTCCATCTTTCCTTGGCTTCTTTATGCACATTAATACAAATTTTTAGCTGGGGTGCCCAAACTTTCGATCCCCACTGTATTTTGTGAGATGAGGAGGCATCCTGAGAAATATTTTCAGTTTTTATCCAATGACCATTGACTTCTTTGATGCTGTGGTCAAACTGCTAAAATCTCACATCAAGTGAGTGGATACCAACATGAGGTGAGAAATCACCCCACCAGGAGAAGTTTCCTGCATTGTTACAGTGAGTAGTGTTTACTTAATAGCAGCTTTATAAATGTGACAGATGATGTGATGCCGCTCTAACCAGCCCAGTGAGTCAAGTGTACAAGATGTTCTCAGCCGCTACTCCGGCCACGACCTCTGGCACCCACCGGGGCTTGGTCACAGAGGTGGGGAGGACATAAATTAGCTGCATAAATGTACTTACTAAGTGCACATGGCATTGTAGGCTAATCTCTCGGCAGTGAAACTGTATCAAAAAAGGTATTCCAGGGCTTTTTCCTTAGTTGAAAAGTTTTGTATTTTATGCTAATATTTGTGAGACATAGGGGCCATATAGAAACAGTAGAAGAACGTATTTCCTTTTTTTCTATTACACTTCAGATCCTTGCAATGCAGCAATTCCCTTGCACCGCTGCATTTATATTTTTGTCTTGTGCAGACTACTGTCCATGCAGTTGCAAGATTCCTGCAGCAGTTTGTGAATAGTGCTCCAATCTGAGAGATGCCAGAGCCTACCTAAAGAAAACTGGAGAGAATTTGTTTATGGCTTTTGAAAGCATAACTGGTTTCCAAATTGCATTGGAGCCACTACTGGAAACGTACGAGTAGAAAAGGCCAGCAGATATTGTAGCTGTGCTGAGATTGACATAGTCTCTAGATCTGCAATAAGGGGCACTACATATCCCTCTAATTAGCCACTTCTGAAAGTTTTGGACCTCCCTTCCCATATGTTTTCATTGGTGTTAAAGCTATCCATTATGGCCTTATGAGGCCCTGTCCTCATCCTTTCATGTATACAGTTAGGTCCATATATATTTGAACACAGGCACAATTGTCATACTTTTGGCTCTGTATGCCACCATAATAAATTAAAACAAAACAATCCAAATGAATTTGAAGTGCAGACTTTCAGCTTTAATTCAAGGGGTTGAACATAAATATCAAATACCTATTTTAGGGACTGAAACCATTTTTATATACAGTCCCTCCATTTTCAGGGGCACAAATGTAATTGGACAAATGAACATGATCATAAATAAAATGTTCATTTTTCAATATTTTGTTGAGAATCCTTTACTGTCAATGACTGCCTGAAGTCTGGAACTCATTGACATTACCAAAGACTGAGTTTCCTCCTTTCCAATGCTTTGCCAGGCTCTAACTGTAGCTGTCTTCAGTAGTTCTTTGTTTGTGGGTCTTTCTGCCTTTAGTTTTGCCTTCAGCAAGTGAAATGCATGTTCAATTGGGTTGAGATCAGGTGATTGACTCGGCCATTGCACTTCTTTTCCTTCAAAAGCTCCTGGGTGGCTTTTGCGGTGTATTTTGGATCATTGTCCATCTGTACTGTGATGCGCCGTCCAATCAAATTTGCTGCATTTGACTGAATCTAGACTGACAGTATATCTCTAAACATTGCAGAATTTATACGGCTGCTTCTGTCTTCTGTCACATCAGCAATAAACACCAATGACCCAGTGCCACTGGAAGCCATGCATGCCCATGCCATCACACGGCCTCCACCATGTTTTACAGATGACGTTGTGTGCTTTGGATCATGAGCTGTTCCAAGCCTTCTCCACACGTTTTTCTTCCTGTCGTTCTGGTACAGATTAATCTGGTCTGGCTTTTTTAGATGTTTTTTTGGCAAAGTCTAATCTGGCTTTTCTATTCTTCAGGCTTATGAATGGTTTGCACCTTGTGGTGAACCCTCTATATTTGCTCTCGTGAAATCTTCTCTTGATTGTAGATTTTTACAATGATACGCCCATCTCCTGGAGAGTGTCTTTCTTGTGTCTGGATGTTGTGAATGGGTTTTTCTTTACCATAGAGAGGATCCTGCTATCTCTCTGATGGATTTGTTTCATATTTGAAGCATTACAATGGCCTGTTTCACTTGCATGGACAGCTACTTAGAACGCATGATGTAGGTTCACAGCAATAGATTCCAAATGCAAATACCACACTTAGAATCAACTCCAGACCTTTTACCTGCTTAATTGATGAAGAAATAACAAAGGAGTAGCCCACACCTGGCCGCGAAACAGCTTTTGATTCATTTGTCCAATTGCTTTTGGTCCCGTGAAAAAGGGGGGGTGGCTACTCT